TGTGTGTGTGTGGGGTGGGTGTGGGTGTGTGTGTGTGTGTGTGTGTGTGTGTGTTGGGTGTGTGTGTGTGTGTGCTGGGTGGATGTGTGTGAGTGTGCTGGGTGGATGTGTGTGTGTGTGTGTTGGGTGTGTGTGTGTGTGTGCTGGGTGGATGTGTGTGTGCTGGGTGGATGTGTGTGTGTGTGTGTGTGTGTTGGGTGTGTGTGTGTGTGCTGGGTGGATGTGTGTGAGTGTGCACCCACACACTAGACCAGGGGTGACCAACCCGTGGCTTGCGGCTCTTCAAAGGGAAAACTGCAGCTCCCGCACCGTTCACCTTACGGTCCCCTGCTCGGACCCTTTTTTCCTTGTCCGGGCAGGGCGCCGCTTGGCGCAGCGAGATCTGCCGGGGCAGCGGACCGAAGCCTGCTTGGGCCACACGCGGCTCTTAAAGGGGCAGCTTTTTTTTTTTTTCTCAACAGCTTTTTTCCCTATTTTGGCTCTTTGTCTGTAACAGGTTGGCCACCCCTGCACTAGACCCTGCTCCCCTTCTGATTTCTAGGGCTACCTCCGGGAGACCTGATTTCCAGCCCCGCCTGCTCTACCCCATCAGACCCCATGCCGCCCCTCCCCTCCTGAGCTGGGACCCTCCGACAGACCCCGAAAGCCACCACGGTAGGTGCCACTTCCACGCACACCAGGCACGTCACCTGTCCCCGGGCCTTTTGTTCCAGAAACCCCTTCCACGCCGGAGAGGCTGCAGCAGCTGGGGAGAAGCCGGCAGGGGACAACCCGGTCAAAGAGGACATGCTGTGTGCCGGGAGCATGGCAGGCGACAAGGGGACGGCGCCGGTGAGAAACGCTGGCCAACACGGGGGCTTCTCTCGGGTCAGCTGCTGCACTGGGCCTGGCAGGTCCCCCCTGTCGCCTTGGTGTTGGGTGTCGTAGACTCATAGAATCCAAGCACGGGCAAGGAACATTGAGGTCATCGAATCCAGTCCCCTGCCCTCATTGCAGGACCGAGCACCTTCTAGAGCATCCCTGACAGGTGTCTGTCCAACCTGCTCTGAAATATCTCCAGAGATGGAGATTCCACAACCTCCCTGGGCAATTTATTCCAGTGTTTGACCACCCGACAGTTAGGAACTTTTTCCTAATGTCCAACCTAAACCTCCCTTGCTGCAGTGTAAGCCCCTTGCTTCTTGTCCTGTCCTCAGAGGCCAAAGAGAACAATTGTAGCACCCTTTTAGATACTTAAAAGCCATCATGGCCCTCAGTCTTCTCCTTTCCAAACTAAACAAGCCCAATTTCTTCAGGCTTCCCGCATAGCTCATGTTCTCTAGCCCTTCCATCATTCTCGTTGCTCTTCTCTGGACCTTCTCCAATTTCATCTTTCTTGGAATGCGGGGCCCAGAACTGGACACAAGACTCCAGCTGAGGCCTGATCCGCGCGGCGCAGAGCGGAAGAATTTCTCGTGTCTTGCTCACCATGCTCTCAGGGGACCCACCACCCCGGGACTTCGGGGTGGGGAGGGAGGGGCGGAGCCTTGAGTTCATTCCCCAGTGTGGAGACAAGCGTGCTGAGTCCAGCCTGTATAAAATCAGAGGGTCCAGCGGCCTGTCCAGTCTGGTCAGCTGTACAGCCCGGACCAGGATCCCACCTGGTTACCCCACCCATGAGCCCGGAGCCTTGAGTCTGGATAAGGCCTCTCCCCGAAAGCCAGCCCGGGTGGGTGAAGCCATCGAGGGATGGAGAATCCCCCGCCCCGCCCTGGAGGACGATGGAGACTGGCCCCCTTCCCTCCAACCCCTTTTCTTTCCCTGTCTCTAGGGGGACTCCGGGGGACCCCTGGTGTGTGAAGAGGGCGGGACCTGGTACCTTGCTGGCATTGTCAGCTGGCTGCTGAAGACAACAGTGAACGGAATAGCCAGTGTTGCCCCCGGTTACCCCGGGGTGTACAACCGCCCCAATGCCCACGCCGAGTGGATACAGGGGAACGTGCCGGGTGTGACGTTCCTGGAGGTGAACTTCACTCCGAACACAGCCAGCCCCGCGACCACAGTCCTGCCAAGGGGGACCACCGTCTTGTGGAGCGGTGCCTGTCCCGCTGCCAGTCTGCCCGGGGTCCTGCTCCTCGCTGGGCTTCTGCCTCTCGCCCTCTGACCCCTCCTAGACTGGGCCCCCCGCCCACACGGACAGGGAGAACGGGCAGAGGCAACGCTCACACTGACGAGCGGGCAGGAGACCGCCTGGCGGCTCCCCCCAACAGCAGAGAGATGCGTGCTCTGGGTTTTGCTTTTCAGAAGCAGCCATTGAAGAGATGTGCTGGGCTAACAAGGGGGGATGGGACAGAGTGATCTGTCCACACTAGGGGTGTGAAAGTGTAATTGTGTTAAAACAGTGAACACACTAGGGGGTGCGAATGTGTGATCGTGTAAAAACTGTGAACACACTAGGGGTGCGAAAGTGTAATTGTGTTAAAACGGTGAACACACATGGGGTGCACAAGTGTAATTGTGTAAAAATGGTGAATACACTAGGGTGTGAAAGTGTAACCGTGTAAATGGTGAACACACCATGGTGTGAACGTGTAATAATGGTGAACACACTAGGATGTGGAAGTGTAATTGTATAAAAAGGGTGAACTGATGGGCCTGGGCTGATTGGTTAACATTCAGGGTTACACGCAGGCTCCCGCCCTGCTCCCCGGGAGCCGGCTGCTGCCCTGCGCTGCTGCCTCCGTATGAGAGTGAGTCTGAAATGTCGCCTGCGGCCCGGCAAAGGAAGGGGCGGGTCCTGTCCAGGCGGGGGAGGGCAGCTCAGCCCCGCCCCGCAGCAGCCGCTTCCCCCCACCCCCCCCAGCAGGCTGTCAGCCCCCTACTGG